TAAAAAAAAGAGGAGAATAAATTTGCCTGATTGCTAGTCCTAGATGGACTTTTGGAAGTGATTAAATTTTGTTATCTAAATTAAAGTGTTTAATTACAATAATCTGTGTTTACCTTCTGTTGTACCATTGAATTTGGAAGTAAAATGTCTTTATCACATTGGAAAGGGACTTGGTTTCCCAAAACAAAAAGAAAAGCAAATAAAAAAATGTTGGTTTTCATACCACCTAAATGAACCTCAAGGTTCTGTGTTTTCTTTTTTTTTCCCCCAAATTTCTAATTCTTTGATTTTGATTCAGAAAGCACTACCTGTGATTATGCAGTTAACATTGTATCAAACGTAAGCCTGAGTTGATACCTTTTTGAGCAGACGCATTCAACTTCAAGTGTTAGAGTACTTGTTTATTATGTTGTTCAGTAGCTAATAATTAGCTTGCAACCCTTATGATTACAAAACTGAAGCTTATGCTTACAGTGGATTTGTCTAGCTTCAGTTCTAGTCAGTGTATCATGTATCTTTCCTACAGCAAATTGTATTCACCTATTGAATTTCTATTCCCCAGATAAGCAGTTATGATTTGTTCAAAGAAAACCACTGGCTTTTAAATATCCTTCATGGAGTACAGATATCGGATCTATATGTGATGGTCCTGCAGCAGAGGCACTGCATAACACAAGCATTTTAATATTAAACTAAAATGCAGTGAGATTTTATAGTGGCTCTATAAGAATTCAGAACAAGCAGATATCACATCATAGGAGTGCAATAAAATGAGAAGTTGCATGAATGCATATAATGTAAAGCAGAATGGCAAAGAAATTTAAACTGAGTCTCATTCAGTTCCACCAATCACTAATTGGACATTCAACAATAACTGAGCTGAAGCTAGATGAAGCTAGCAGAGGGATCCATTCGACAAGTTTTAGAGAAAGCCTCATTTAGTGCTGAAAGCTGAAATGGGAGAAATCAGGAAAATTGTGCTAACTTTCCTAAGAAATTAATCTCCAGAACCCTCTGAACAAAGAGCTGCCAACAGAACAATATGAACAACTAATTGAAGGGCTTTTCCATCAGAGAACTACTGTCAAAGTGAAGCGAAATAATTGACTACCAGGCAGCACCAAGCAAAAAAGACACTGCCTGGCAACTTTTTGTTGAGTAGGAGTGTTTTAGAGGCTCACAATGAGTAGGTGTAAGGAATATCCTAAGAATGTCTAATGTGTTGTATGAGAACATAAAAGCAAATTGTATCCTGACAGAACATGGTTAATTGATTGAGAAGCTGAACAGAGTTCTCCTTAAGAGGTCTTGCAATTCTTTGGGTTGGCCTAGGCATATTTTCATGGTAAGCAGAGCTCTGACTGCAGGCCAGATATGTACACTCACATAATCCCAGTCTAGAGGGGGGAAGTGATCCCAATACTGAAGATAGTGGCACAGGCACCAGCCCGCTCTTGATCTAACAGCTTGCTAGCCTGTCCCACCACATCCTGGTGCTGTTTGTATCTATTCCCTGTAGGAAAAAGCTAGGAAGAACTTTTCTACACTGAAGCTGCCCAGTTTTAGGGGCAGCTAATGATTCACTGCAGCAAGAAAGAAAAAGCCTCATCTCCCTTTTTGTCCTTGCTTCATACTCATGAGACCTTTCTACTAGCCCTTTAATATCTAGATGTGCAGAACCATACACCTCTTATGCCAAGTTTTACTTCCAGTCTAGTGAACTAACATGGCATATGGAAGATGTCACCACACACCAGTGTTAGCACAAGGTAGGAAATGGAGGGGTGATGGCAGAAGGGGAGACCCCTCTCCCCCTTGGGTGGTTTCCACTTGGCAGAGTTCCTGGCACTGCAGCCTTACTCTGTGCAAAACTATAGCAGTTCATTCAAAAGCAAGTTCTTGCCCTTCGCTATTTTATTATTTACTTGATGTGTGCCACATCCTTCAGTGATTTAAATCCAGCAGGGAAAATAAAGTAGAGAATTGGTGTGCCCATTCACCAATTAGGGTTGTTTTAATTTGCATAACTAACATTATGCAGTCTTTTTATCTTTTTCTGTGTCCTCTGCCAGATGTAAAGTTAATATGGGAATGCAAGACCTTCCTGTTTCCAATTTGAACACAGATTCTATCAAGACAGTGACCACTCTTTTGTAGAGCCATCGATTTTACATTCTACCCTCATTTTGCACTGAGGTTGTCTTCCAGAATTGCAATAGGATGCCCTTGGAGCAGAGGCCTTCATGGTCCCAGGTTGTACGATACCAGCTTCCCTTGTTATAAGAAAAACACACCTGACCTTGAGACTACCTGATGTAACACTTAACTACATAAACTAGCACTGGGAGTATTATCTCTTTAAACATATAATCATGCAACAGGTAAAGGAGTTTTTCTTACATACACATTATTAACATGTGGCATTCCTTTCTTGCACATCTTACCTTCTGAACTCATTTAACAAAATGCTAAACAAACTGTTTTCTCAAGAGGCCACAACAGAAGGTGGTTGTGCAAGCTGAATATAAGAATGAAGATCATAATAACGATGGCAAGAAAACACCATGAAGCGTCACAGCATTCTTAGGATCAGAACCAGGATTCTTTTTGTTTGGTTTTGGTAATGGATGTATAATCATGTGACTAGGGAAATGAGGGAGAAGGAGAGTCATAGGGGCTGATTAGTAAAATGGGTGGTGGAGTTTAGGAAAAGACTTCAGAAAGGAAAGGGCTCTGAATAGAACTACATCCATTAGCTAAAGAAATGGGGAAAAAAAAGGAAAAAAAAACATTATACCATTATATGCCTTTTCAAAATGAAGATAAGACCACAATGTAAGAAAACCATGGAAAAAACTGAGAGAATCTGAGGACACATCAAAAGGAAACAAAAACCCACCAAGGAAAACCTTTTCTTGTGATGTAAAAGTCAGGGAAAAGCTGCTGCTTTTTTAATTTTTCTAACATTGTGGAAGAGACTTTCCTGGGATGATAAGTTTATGAGTTGCCTCAGTGGAAGCAGTGCCTTCAGTCTATCTGCTGGCTGTAAAAGGAGGCCAAGTACAGATACTTGGAAGGTGGGGGTGAATGCCTGTTGCAATGCACGCAATACAGTGACAAAATGGGTTAAGAGACATGGGAAGAAAGGTCTCCCTGAACTGAAAAGCAGCAGGAGCACATGTAGCAAGGAAGGCAGAAAAATTTTCTGCATAGCACAATACATCTTTCCTTCTTCAAGGGATACCAGGAATACAGGGTAAAGAGAAAAAAAAATAATGAAAAGAATAATGTATCTATATAATCATTATTCCTGACACAGTCAGATATAAACCAATCAGCAAGTCTGGCTTTTAAAAGTCATATTTCTCTCAGCAGGAATTTTGCTTCCACTCCACCATGCTCTGAGACAAGGTAGGGCTGAGTTAGGATAACATGGGTGTGCCTGACCTGATCCAGTTCCGGCGCCTGCAAACCAGCACAGTCCTTCCTGAATTCTCTGTTCAAAGATGTAGCACATATAAAGAATTCTTTAAAATTTTTTTTAAGTGTTTTAATTGAATTTTCTAATTGCTGAGTCATATTATTATTTATGAAGTTAATTCTGTCCTTTCTTCAGTTCCTGAAACCACAAAAAGTAACTATTCGCTGTTAATCCAATCATGGTAAAATGTCAAAGTTCTTCCCCTGCCTCTCCCTCCCCCACTCCCTTTCCTCAGAACAAGGTCCTCACAACTTCTACACCAAATATTGCACTTGATTAAAAATAAATACACACACCAAGCAATCCTCTCCCTCCCTCCTGTAATACCAGCATAGAAAATACTGCAACTGAAAAGAAAATCTGTCATGACAATTATTTTCACAGTTAGGAACACTGAACATCAAATAACTGGAGACACTATCTTTTCATTTAATGGAGAGTAGAGAAGAATTGTCGTTGTGGTGGTTTGTTTTGTGGTGGGTTTTGTTTGTTTGTATTAAATAAAGATCTTGTTTTACATCATGGCTGAAAGCCAAGCAGATTTCAGGGAAATTTTTCTGCAGTTCTTAAATCATGCAAAATAAATTCCAGTGAGAAAACAAACCCAACCCTGTCTCCTAGTAGTAGTACTGCATGTTAATACATTATTTTCAGGAATGTTTGTCAAGAGAGTCTGCAGTTTGTATATTTACAGAAGTTTAACTCCCTGCTCCCCTAAGAAGCTGTTCCCTCAGGTTTCTGCCACATTCTTTAATCTGACACAAGAAAGAAATCCACTGTACCCAGAGTCCCGCCACCTATATGGTTTGCATCGAGTTAGAACACCCCAACAATTCAGTGCTAACAAAGGCTAACCTCAGTGATGCCTTTCTGTGTACTTCTTTCCCCCTGCAGGTTACAAAGGTTGAAGCAAGTGCATTGGTCTGGATGACAACTACCAGCTACTTGCTTCTCTACTCCTTTACAAAGTGGTCTGGGGGATCTTATCATTCCATTCAGTCCATCTTTGGAAGTCTTACGCCACATGTATGTGTTTCCCAAATGTGATAAGGAACAGTGCCAGAATGAACAACTGCTAACTGTGGTCAATAGTCATCATTGGTCTAATTTACAAACAATAAACTCTGTGCAAAAAGTTACTAGCAGAAGCATCAAGTTTCATTGGTCCTGAAAACTAGAAACTCCATATACAGATACTCATTAATTTAGAATCAAGAACTCCTAATACATATGACAGCACAATTTGGCTTGTTACTCCAGTTGGATTCAGAGAGAAATTAACTTATGAGTCTAACAGGGCTGATGGTACTCCCTCCTGTCACACTCTTTGCACTCCACCCTAGTAAAAAGCACAGCTGACACTTGCAGTTGCTGAGATGCCTCCCAGACCATCATACCATCTTTGGTGGGTGTGGGTTTGTAAAGTGGACAACGTTTTGGATTAAGGCAGAAGACTGACTTAAGTGAGCAGTTCATCACAGACATAGCCAGTTAGACAAAATCAGATTGAACAACTGACTGCCAACGAATATGCTTTTATGCATTTACACCAGAATTTGTATACACACAGTGCTTAAAAAACAGGGAGGGGAAGAAAATTTAAAAAAAGAAAAAAAAAGAAAAACAAGTCCAACGGCTTCATCTTGGTATAATCATCCTTTCTATGGCACAAATTATATGATCCCAGTTTTTACAAAATATTGCCAGCAGCGTCACTGCGAAAAAAGTGCAGATGATATGAAAGCGGCTCTTCATCATAGGAGCAATGAACTTTGCAATAGTAGAAACACACACTAAGATGACAGTCATGAAGGCCAGGATAACATTTATACATTTCCCCAGGAGCACTTTGGCATTAACTGTTTCAGACTGCTGTGCTTGCTGTTCCTGCTGATGGAGCTCCAGTTTGGACACCCGGGTCTGGCATGATTCCAAGGCTTCCTGGAGACAGAAAACAAGAATTAGGGCAGCTGTATTTCCATTCAACACTTCTTCACATTTTAGCTGCTGAGCCATCCATCAGCTAGATTAGATGTGTAATTTATTATACACTGCTAAAATTTCAGTGAACCATGAACTTTTAAAAAAAAGTGCACGTGTATATCTACATGAATGTACCACTGCCTGCTCAGGCATAATCAAGTCTAACAACACTGGCCACAATGTAGTTTTTACTTTTTTCATGCTTGAGAAAAAGCATCATAACTCTAATGTTCATGACAGATGTTTGCTGTATATACTGACGAGATAAAGTACTGGGAAAGCTGTTACCATAGCAACTATCACTGCATTAGAACAGCAACAAAATTAGTTTCTTTCTATATACTATAGAAAACATTAGGGTGGGCTTGCTGCAATACTAATTAAATCTACTTTGCAACACGTAGTATTTGTTTTACATCACCTCTATGGCCTACATTTTTTTTCTCTCAAAGCCACCTGTTGCACAATGTGGGCTTGAGTCCTCTGTTAAGATCTGGCCTTCTCCCTCTATCAGTGTGAAGGCTCATTGATCCATACCCCAAGTGGGCAGGGGAGACAGTGGAGAAACCTGCGGTGGTGCTTTTATGGGATTCTCTTTCATATGATCTATTCCTCTTTACAATTTGTTCTAAAGGGAGCAGACCTTTCTCTTCTTCTTGAGGATGGACTAAAAGTGGTCTTTGAGTAAAATGCTTTCTAAGGCACTAACCCCACACTTAAGCCCTCCCAAAGTGAAACACAGAAAAATTTCCAACTGCTTCACTTATTTGCCAAAATGCCACTTCTTGCTGGAGTTGGGATTTGGGCACCACTATGTAACATGGTGGAAGGCTATAATTTAATAAATTGATCAATTTGACATAACCTTTTACCGCTGTGTAAAAGGGAAAACTGATGTTCCAGCATCCCTACTTCCTTCCCCAAACATTTTCCTTCCACTGGCAGGGGCGTTCACCTGATCACACAGTAAGCTGTTTCAACCCAAACCTCTAGATATAAACACACAGAGAGTTATTAACTCTGTCTTGCTAGGTCAGTTCTCTTATTTTAGCAAGTTGAACTGGCTTACCGTGTGACCAGCCAGGCACCAAGGTCATTGCAGAGCACATGGCACAGCGTGTTACACAAAACTGCTTTCTTTCACTGTTCTAGGAATTAGTTATATATACATATATATACACACACATATATATATAAAAAAGACAATTCTTAATGGGCGGCACAAAGTCCCTTATGGTTCATGCATGCTCTCCACTACACACTAAAAACCTTTCCTGGTACGTATTCCACTCTGACTGTAAGTTATTCTCAAATCTTGTGCTGCTTCAGAGAAAGTCTAGCTGCAAAAGTCTGATACCTGCAGCTCTGCATTGAGAGGCTGAGCATGTCTTTAGAAACGACCTGCACATCCTTTAGCGACAGAGTTGTTACTCAAAATATCCAGAGCTTAAATGCCTTCACTCTATTTTAGCTTATCTGCCAACCCCCCCAAAGAGGCAGGTTTAAACAGGCCCAGCTGTATAGAGATAAAAGAAACAAGGTTGTATCAATGTAGCACTTCAACTAGTTTTAAAAGTCTCTGACACACCCCCTCCCCTGCAGGATTCTGCTAACAAGTTAGCCATTAGCTCATAGCCCTTCTGCTGGACAGCTCAGGTCTCATGTTTTTACATCCTCAAGATACCTTCACAGAAAGGAGTCCTCTTTTCTCTAAATCTATCAGAGATCTCTCTCCTTTAAACCTACAAAGAAACCTATGATGCACTTAGATTTAGTACATCCTTTCCCATTCTGTTCCCAGGAGCTTCCTAACTCTCACACCAGTTAGGGAACTGTGATCATCCTCCTGCCTGCAGGCTCTATGTTTAAAAATGTGAGCACAGGGGTATACAGGACAGGTTTTAGGTTCTTTTACCATCTGAGACAATATGAAGACAGTCTTTGAGCATTCCTCATTTGTTCACGAATAGGTAAGACATAACAATGTTTTCACCATTTTTCACCACTTGCTCAGGCTTTAAGTAGAAATATTACGCATTATATAAGATTATATTGTATATAAATATTCAAGTATGTAGCTACATGCCATCAGGACACACTTGTAGACATTATTACTGGCTTTTGAGTGAAGCCAGACATAACTACAACTGATCACTAAGGTGAACACATCCTACAGTTTTAATTATAGAGGTTGTTGTGACCATGGCTTAAAACTCTTAAATTATAACTGGCAAATCTACAAGTCTATTTATCAATTAGCTTTCTTACTGTTTACCTGAAGCTCAATTTATAATAAACCTTGCCAGTGATGAGACTACTTACTGGAGAAAGTCTGAACAAGAAGTTTGTGTTAGGACATTGTCAAAGGTGGCATTTTACACAGTACGAGGAGACTTAATTCCTTCCTCCTCTAGTGCAAGAAATTAAAACAGACCATTCTTCAACCACAAGTCTGCCCAGCCTACGTCATCAATTCCAGTAGAAAAAATTCTGAATCCAGTGAAACAAATGAAGACTCACATTGATTTAATATGCTGGGTTTTCACTTTAAAACAGAAAAAACATGGGCTTAAATCTTTCCCCAGACTCCTTATTTACAAAGATGTAGAAAGATGCGAGTGTTCCATGGTACAAGATTTCCACCAAATATTAGAAGTCTATGGTAAGGAAAAACTTACCTGAACATCTCGTGATCGCTCATATGCCTGATATGCCACTTTCTCCTCTATGCTGGCTAGCTCTTGTTTCAAGTTTGCTGTCTCATGTTGATGAAGATCAGTGAGGTCATTTAACTGGTCCTCCAATCTTTCGTATCTTATTAGGAAAAGAGGTCTAAATTTAGTGCCTTCTGTTCAAGAAATGCTAAATCATGAACACAATTACACGTTTTAAAAGATAATTTTTCAGTGTACTATGAATTCATGACTGGCATTACAAAGCACATAAAGGAAATCAGTAAAAACTTTGCAAACTCTCCATAAGCATTTATTCAGCAAGCTGAAAGTCTTTTTTCAGTGTTTCTTGCTGACAGTGGGTGTTAAGAAGAAAATATCTGTACATCATTGGAAAATTATATGAACTATAAACAGTGCCTAAGGATCTCCAACTCACATTTTTCTGTTTTTCACTCTTCATTTAGACAAGAAGATATGGTTTCATAATTAAGTTTGAGCCAGTTAACAGCTAACCAGTAATGACAAGAAAAGTATGTTCTCTCTCAAACACAACTGCAAGGTCCTGCCATTTGTGTACAGCCTGTTCTGGCATGCCTCTGCACAGCAAACCAGTTCAACTAAATCATCAGGAAACTAGAAATTTTTTGGTGAGTCTGTCATTTGATTTAACATACAAACAGGCAAACACTGCAGTCAGCACAAAAATGATGAAGGCAAAATTGTCACGCTGCGGAAATGGGTGGTAGGAGGCTTGAGATCTTAATGGCAGTGAGCTGTCAGAAAAGGCCACTGTCTTCCCCTCAAACCAAGACCTGAGTTCAGTAGGCCATTTGTATTGTTCTTTCCTCCCCTATGTTATCATGTGATATCAAGCCTTTCCTTGTATTTCAAGAACCGTAAACAAGGGAAACATTAAATATTGCATTTTATACTGAGTTTTTTCCCACTAGTATAGTAAAGACTTCAAGAATCGACTGTCACAAGTGATATGACAAATGGGATATAGGTACAGCAGGTGTAAGTCCTCTGTAGAACATATCTTCTCAGAGTAGATGATAAAGTAATTAATTGCCAAGTAACAAATGCAAAAGGAAGTTGTGCTAGAGTACTTAAAATCACATCTCACAGCTGTGTATTACACCAGGGTACAAGGTGACATTGCATCCACAAGATAGCAATGTGTGTGAGAAGTATTTGGACAAGGTACTCAGGAATCAAGGGTATACTCATCAGCTGTAAGTCAGTTCTGCTATACCATAGACTGATTAGCTTTTTCTAGTCACAACAGTTGAGAATCATTCCATTGGTTACAAAACAATTGGCAGTGAATACTCCTATCCCCAGTACTCACATAATTCACAGTGTGACAGTGGAGAGAGTTTTCTGACCAGCCTTTGACAAAAAGCAAAGGACCACCACATAATTTGATCGGAAATACTAATGTTTTAGTCACTGGAAGGAGTGGAACATGTTGGTACCAGATATTGATTGGAACTATTTTTTCCTCTTGCTTCTGAAATATCTCCCCCCCACACACACATGCACACACACACATTTTCCAAATAGCTCCTATACCGGTTCAAAAGTAATTTCAAGAGAACAGTTAAATAAAAATACCTAAATCTTTCCTCTTGTAACATCTGAGAAATAAAGCCATAGTCTCTTTTAAATTGTGTTTTTAAATTCTCAATATCATCAGCTAATTGGGACTGGGTCTCCTTGATTTCCCTTAGTTCCTCCAAAATCATGGAAAGCTTTCCTTGGCTGTCCAGGGTACTTGCCACAGCAGGACTAAAAGAAGTATTCCCATTACTATCTGCTGATCCAGAGGTCCCACTTGAGCATTCGTCATCACTAACATATTTTGGTTTGGCAACAATGGTGGCACTGCCCCCATATGTTCTGGAACTCGTTTCTGGCCGAAATTCATCCAGGGTATTTTTGAGATGAGCAATGTTGTCTGCACTACCAAATTTGTTTCGGATCAGGTTGGCAAACTCTCTAGACTTGCTGAAAACAAAGACAGGTGGTGTCAAAGATACACCTGGCACACCCGACTTGCTGCTCTCTGTTCCATGCCCAGTGGTACGAGACTTTCCATGTTGAACATCTTTCAAGTTATCTTTGGAAGTATCCTTGGTAGTTTTGGAAGATCCATTTTGTTCAATATCCTTGAGCTTTTTGTGATACTGTTCCAATTTCTTCTGCAGCTGGGCAATGGAGTGGGCAGATTTCTGGTTCTTTTTCTCAAAGACTTGTTTAATGCGCCCGGCCTGTTGCTTGTCTGCACTGTTTACCAGTTTCAAATACTCAGCCACATTTCCATCTCGAGCTGTTTGTTCAACCTTGATTTGCTCTGTAACCTTGAGAATTTTCTGTTTCAAGCTATCTGCACTGAGTTTGACTTTGTGAAACTCTAGGACCCCATCTGGTACATCAAAGTTCAGGTTGGTATCAGAACCTCCACGGCGAATGTTAAGCGGTAAACTCAGGGTATTCATGTCATGTCTTTCCACCTGAGAGAAAAGAAAAAGAGATAAATGGAATTTGAATTCTATTTTTTTAAATCAAACTTCCAATTTCCTTTTCTGCATGTAATTATACCAAGTACACAATATAAAGTAGTTTACCATAGCAAAAGAGAATACACTTTTCTTGAAATTAAGCAGCATTTTTCTTGACTTCCATAGGTTAATAAGCAGCCCAAGGAACTGCTTGTCTCTCTTAAAATAGAAGTAAGATGAATTAGAGAGAAAATTATTCAAGTTTGCAGCTTTTCAGAATCATTTACAGTTTTTCATAAAATGAGAATAACACCTAGTTAGAAAAGGTTCTTAAATATATTTATTATTATTGAGAGTTTCAAAGAGATCATGACTGATAATCACTCTGTTTTTTCTCTTAGAAATGGTCAAACACCAATGGAGATGTAAGCAGATTTTTCCCTCTACAACAGCTCTATACTGTTCAGTATATTTTCCCAGGTTAAATGCCTTTTTTGATACATCCCATTCAAATCCTCCCACAATTCAAAGTTTTTTCATAACTAGCTGAAAGCTCTTGGAAATTTAGTGTATGCTTCAAGCTGGAAGCAGCTGCTAGTTTTTAAAGCAGAGAGCATGGAGAAAGAATTGGCCTGTATTTGGCTTTCCATGCTTGATGAAGATGCTCAACAACTTGATCCGCTGTGGCTAAGTCTATCTTAATAGTAAATTCACTGAGTGGGATTTACAGAAAGAAACTCAGGAAAGAAAACTGCATTCAGTCACGTATAGGATCCATACACCCTAACAATGCTCTCTGGAAGCACAACAAAAACAATTAAGCAACTCGTTTACAACACAAACACAACAGATTATTTATCTTTCTCAACAGAAAGGCAAGATAGTCTGATACAAAACACAAGAAGTGTTTCCTTATAGAAAGTCAAAGTCATGGAAGAGGCACAACATAAGAATGATCTAACCAAAATAGCTTCATCCTTGTTATCATCTTGGTTTCGCCTCTGTGACATAGAAGGTGCATTTCATTAAAGCTGCCACAATACCACATCTGTAGAGACTGCTTAACAAATGCTCCAGCCATAATGGGTTTTCAGAGCTTTAACACCAGAGGGAACCAATATGATTGCTCAGGTAAGTCCATTGTAGAGACAAGGCAGAAGCTTTATTAAAGTATCTTTTAAACATGCATTTGTGAAACACTTTAGCTACTCTTTGCTTCAAAATGCCTGAGATACTATGTTAAAAGTTTGATTTCCAATTATAGTGTTAATTATTATCTATAATACTGAAGATCATTAAGCCAGACCTATGTGTACATGTCCAGTGATCACCATTCAATCTTTTTCTTAATTAAAAAAAAACATAAGACCATCATTAAGTATTGCTTTAAGGTTTGTTCTATCCTTGAAAAGTTTGGGCGGCACTCCTGGAAATTCTCTCAAGGTTTCTTGATCAGGAGAACAAGTCTTGCTCTGTGTCTACCATGATGGGGTACAAATACAGAGGGGGTAATACAGCTATAAATCTGGATCTGCACCAGACCATTTCAGAGATGATCATCTCTACTCCTACTTTATATTCTTTTCCTTATAGATTACCAAGGATTACAGTGGAGCTTTTTCCTGCTTTTTCTTTTGCTACTTCACCGCTCAGGGCATAAACCACGTAACATAAAAGTTCAGATTCACCAATATCTAAGAAAAAATAGACACATGAAAAATGCAAACTAAAAGAGTTGTAGAACTGACAATTTCTTCTGGAGAATATGGGTTAATGATGACCTTTAACATTCAGACTCTATTCCAAGAAGTAAACCAGTGCTGTAGCCTAACAGATGTGCACTTTACCAGTTTAGTTATTAAAATAAAGTAAAAATAAATTTTTTAAATAAAATTTTTATATTATTTAATATCACTAATCACGTGTGTTGCAGAAAATCTACTTTATTGGTGAGATCTTAGTACTTCAGTATTTGCACAGATATGACACACAGATGTCATTCTATATTCAGTGTGATATCTAATATAAAGACTGCAAAAACCACAAGTGTCACTTTTTAACATGATAACACTCATAACACTGTTGTAGTAGCTAAAAAATGCCTTTAATATAAGCAAAAATAGTTTGATATTGGATACTTGTAACTTTCCAAAGGCTCAGACACCAAAGAAAAGCAATCAAGGCAAATAACTGAAATGTTTAGATACGAGATCTGTAGCCCATATTGCAGATATTTATGTAAATGAACTTATGGGATCTAGACAAATTCAGTATGGACAAACAGCTCAGTATAAAACAATAGCTTACTGAAACAACCTAAGACATTTTTTAATAATCTTTGGCACAAAATTATACTGTAATAAATCACTGCATTGTATACACACACACAAGAAAGATCCATCACTGATGTCACTCAGGACAAGCTGTACGTACTTCCAAGAATGGGTGGGTCTATCTCTAACCTTTACACAGCAGTAAGTGTTTACTTCCTTAGTACAAAATAGTCTAAAAATGTATTGTAATAATTGGATACAAGCCCAAATCAGGTCCCTTCTCCCTTATGTCCTCTCCCTCACTGGAGTCTCTATTGGTCAGCCTTCTGTGCCTTCCTGAAACTCCAAGGCCAAAACAGGAGTAGAGATAAAAAGAACAATAGCATTGAGGGAATACATCTGCTAAAAGCTGCCTTGCTTTTAGAAATGAGGAAACCAGTTAGCATGTGGAAAATCTGCTCCTGACACGAGTAAAACCAATCATAAGGTCAGTTCAAATTCAATAAACTTTAGAAAATAATTGTGTTTAAATTTGCAAAACACTGCTAGCAGTAGGTTTTTTTACTTATTTGATTGAGAGATCACCAAGGGTATGGGAGAATTATATCCAATACATTTCTCTGTCTGATTGTATTTGAACAAAAAGGCAGGTGTCCTCTTGCCATCATGTTGCAAAGCTGGGTCAAGAAACAGAGGCTCTTGAAATTCTCTGTTGACATAATACACCTTTTTGTTGGAGGTGTGGGTGTGGTGTGAGTTGTTGGTTTGTTTTTTTTTTGGCGGGGGGGGGCTGGTTAGTTGGTTGGGTTTTGTGGGATTTAGAGGGTTTTTTTGTTTGTTTGGTTCGGTCATTTTAAATCAGTAGCAAGCAGACACTGGAGGACTCAGGTATTTCTAGAAAAGTGGCCTGTCACCTTTCTTCTACCTTGATGAGGTAGAACAGTCTTGCAAAGATTCATTTGCGATTGCTTTATAGCTCAACTCTAATGCTATCCCAAGACATCAGATTTCCATCTTCAAATCCTACCCCAAATCCTTCTTGCTGCAACAGTCTCATCTTGACATGAGAAGAATCAGCTTGCATTTCCTGCTGTATCCTGCCTAGTTCTTTATACTGAGCAGAAGACTGTCAGTAGGAGTCCGAGATGCTTCCTCATCCCTGCAGGGACTGGTGCACTCTCCTGTGATGTGGGCTGAAATCCTCCCACATGCAGGAGATTGAATGCACACCTCCCTTGAACTGTGTGAGTGCTCTTCCAGCTGTGCTATGGGAAGAAATGATGAATGCCATCCACGTCATTGTTCTTTTTGTGACTCCTGGGTCACCAGTGTCTGACAGGGCCACAAAGCTCTCAATAATAAAAATGTTGTTGAGAGATTGATTTTCTTATTTTTATTTTTTAAGATTTTCATTGTGGTTGCCAAGAGAAAAAAATATATACATACGGTAGCAGCCCCAACAGTTAAAATGGACCAGCCATCTTTTCAGAAGTGAGAAGCACTTAAAGAAGAAAGAATCATCATACATCTCTCCTACGAAAATAATTACTAGGGAGCTGGGGATTAGCAACAGATGAAAGGCAGCAGTCCTGAGACAGGTTGCACCACCAGGAGGATAACACTAGCCCACAGTCTGAGAAAATACCAGAAACATGCCTGGGATCTGTCTTTCAGGAAAAAACAATTTGTATTTGGTACTGGGATAGCCATAGCTGATATTAGCATGGAAGAAGAAACCTGGAGCTTGGAGAGGGACCAGTGCACTTTATGGGGCAGTTCACGTACGCACTTTGCTACAACTCAGTTGAGAACTAATAGTAATGTTTGTGCTGCTGAAGTACTAGCTTTTAAGAACAGTGATTTAGGAGTAAAGCAATTCAGGCTCCCTGCCTGCATCAGAGCCAGGTGCCACAAATGACTAGATAGGTAACTCTCAGTGGTAATGCCCCAATCCCCCTTTTTCCAAGTCAAGCAGATCCCTGGCTGCATGGCCATGCTGTTTATGAAACCCATTCCAAGCCAAAGTCCAGAGCTTCAAAAGGGATAGCAGAATAACTGCCTGGTGAAATGAACACGGGGCACTGCTAAAAACCCTTCATGACACATGAATTGGTGGGTTTACTCTCTGTCTTAAATGGTAAGTGGAAGGCTGGGTAAAAGGTAGCCTGTCATTCATAGAGAAGCATTCAGAGCACAATTGTAATCTGAAAACCCAATCACAGAAGCGAGGATATGGATTACATTGGCATCATAATGATCCACGTTTTCTCACTTAACCGTCTGCAAAAGCAGACAAAGGTCAGATTTGCAGGCCCTGCTAACAATGAGCCCAAAGCACGAAAGGACCCATGTGCCCCAATGCCACAAGCAAGAGTGTTGGAAAGGGATTTCACATTGGCAGGATCTGCTGAACTGGTGAGAATATCATGCTTAACAGCCTGTGCAGATTGGCCATTATATCCTCTGATTGGAAAATACAAAGCAGACCTAGAAGGTTACTTCTTCCCCAAAGATTCTGGGTGGAATCCATTTGGGAGAAAAAAATCCATAGCAAATAGAGCATAGAGAGCATGCAGTCCACCCTCATGCAGCCCATGGCTGCTCAGATGAATCACTTCCTGTATTCTATTGACTGTGTCAATGGCTCTCCACTAACACTTGAGAGATAAGCCACCTATGTTTAGGTATCAAACTGAACTCTACTGTTTATTTCATAGATTTCTTTCACACTCTTTTAAA